CACAGCTGCGAGCCAGGTAGCGCTCGTGGAGCACGGCCGAGGAGGGCAGCCAGGCGAGCGTGAGCGCCAGGTGCGCCAGCACAGCCGTGCCCATGTAGAGGGCGAAGCAGCGCACAGCTGGCAGGCGGCTCAGGTAGCTGGCATAGAAGGCCGCGCTGGTGGTGAGGCCGGAGACCAGCAGCAGGTAGCCGAAGTGGTGCATGGTGCGGCCCACGCGCTGCACCAGCCCGCCAGAGGGCAGCTGGCTCTTGCTGAGGCGCCAGAGGTCAAAGAAGACGAGGGTGTGATTAGTGCAGACGCTGCTGAGCAGGACGAGGGCCGCCAGATTGACGAAAGGGAAGTAGGCCATGCGGAAGGCCACTCGGTAAAGAAAGAAGGCCATCAGTAGGGAGCCCAGCACCCCTAGCAGAACCATGAACGTAAGGAAGAAGGAGCGCAGATAGAGAGCGATGCTGAGGAAGATGGCAGCCAGGGCCAGCAAGGGGTACACCGTATCCTGGGCTAGGTAGTACCTGAGCAGCTCCTGCTTGAGGCCCAGATCCATGCCAGTGATGGATGTGTAATTGTCAGAGAGCCCCCAGGGGGTGGCTAGGCGGTCCAGGTAGATGCCCATCATGGAGGCACCCTTTGGGGTGGGCAGGAAGAGCAGACTGTACTTGAGGGAGGGCACCTGGTAGTCAGCAGTCTGGGGACTCAGAAAGTCCCTGTCCAGCAGAAAGTGCAGAAGTTGGTAGACAGCACTGCTCCGGGAGCACTTGGTGGGAACCTGGGCACAGCGTGGGGGCTTGTCCTGCCCAGGTCCCAGACAAGAGGGCACCAGGGCACCACGGTGGTAGTAGAGGGCACAGGTCCGAAGCAGGGCCAGTATGCGGACTGTGTCTGCTTGAGTAGTGTCCAGGCAGGAGGAGCGGTTGGAGAGCACGGCCACATAGTTGCCCAGGGACCAGCTAGGGCAGCACTTGTTGGCTGTTATACGGTGGCACAGAGCCCCAAAGCGGGTATGGGAACGAATCTGTAGGGCACAGACAGCAGGAGAGAGCTCAAGGGCAGTGCAGGGGCCCAGGTTTCCCTAGCCCTGTCCAAGGCCCTCTCATCTTCTTTCAGACTGCAGGGCAGAGGCAGCGATGTATCTTGACAGCCCAGCAGAGCTGGCTTGTCTCAGAGCTGCCTTTGGCCCCTGGCCCAGGTGTCAGCAGTCACATCTTGACTCCATCTAAGTGGAGCCTCAGGGATGCTGCTGAGGCCCCAGCCTGAGGGGTCCTGCCCTAATGGCCCCTGCAGGTCACACACCTCAACTCTATACTGCCTGAGCCAGGAGTAGGAGTGGAAGTGGCAGTCACAGATGGAACAGGGCTGCGGTCCAGAGAACTGGAAGCAAATGGTGAGAAACGCGGAGGCCAAAACATTCCAGGATCAAGGTCACTACCAAACCCTACCCGCCTCCCTCTGTCTACTGGTCTGCTTAAACCCTGTTAGGCACAGGTCTGTTTCTTTTTCAGACCTCATGCCTCCTTTTCTCTCCCACGTGCTGTTGACATCACAATAGGTGGTATAGTTACAGAGAGTGCCTGTCTGGGAACCAGAGCCACCAACTGGGTGTATGGCCTTGGATCTGAGATGATGGTGACAATAGTAACATTTATTGAGAGATTACTCTTGCCAGTAATTACATTATAGTTTTACAAATTCTATCTTAATTGTCACAACATCCGTATGAGGAAAGTACCGTTCTTATCCCCACTTTATACACACAAAGACTGAGGCACTGAGAGGTTAAGAAAGGTGCCTGAAGTCACACAACTTGCGGGACGGCACCTGGTAGTCAGCAGTCTGAATTCAGCTAGGAAGTATTTAGAGCTGGCCTTGAAATCAGGCATCTGACTCCAGAGTACATGTTCTTAACCTCTCAGTGCTTCAGTCTTTGTGCATACAAAGCGGGGATAAGAACGGTACTTTCCTCATAGGGATGTTGTGAGAGAGACACATTGACTGGCTGCCTCCCGCAGGAGCCCTGACCGGGGGTGGGGATTGAACCTGCAACCCAGATATGTGCCATTGACTGGGAATCGAACCTTCAACCCTCTGGTGCGAAGGCCAATGCTCCAACCACTGAGCCACGCTGGCCAGGACCAGAGCACATGTTCTTAACCAGTGTTTCTTTGTACTTTGGATATCCTTGTATGAAGTGGGCGTCTTGGGCTACTTAGTGGTATTTTTAGCAGCAAACCTTTCTGCAGATGTTATGGTGTGTGGTTATCTAGTTAGCATGATTACATTGGCACTGCTTGGATTGATGGGGCCTGGGGGCCTTGGGTCAGGGCCTCCTTAACAGTTCTTGAGGCTCCTTTTTAGGACCTTTAGGAAATCCCCAGGCTCCTCATGGTCTGTTTTCCAACACTTGTGTTTTGGCTCTTCTGAAAACAGCTGACTCTTCTTTCCCCACCCCAACCTGGAGCCTCTCAACAGCATTGGAATAATTTTCTAAGCAGAGAATGCTCTTCCCCAGTCCACCCTAGCAGTCCTGGCTCAGCAGTATTTCCTTGGGATCAGGTTCTTGGTGTCCTGGTACCTCCCCAGTCAGCTCACCTGGTCCTGTTCCATGCGACACATGGAATGGATGGCATGTAGGTTCCACAGGCTGCCCTCTGAGGTGGACATGAACACCAGCTGTGCATAGCTCTTCTCTGCAACATACCCCCCAGAGCTCAGCCCTTTGGCCCCAGGTCCTGGGCCCACCAAAGGAAAGATTCTTACCCAGGGCCATATGAGGTTCAGATTCTCAGGAAGCTGAAACCTGTCCCTGGTTGCCTCATCCAGGGCCTGCATCCCAGCTCCTGTCCCCCCACCCCCACCCCGCCTTGACCCTATCTGGCTGGATCACCTGAGATCTGCCTAATCTTCCCAGATGTACGTAATCCAACTTCCTTGGCTTGAATGTGGCCAGCTGGCTTCCTTCCCTTTCTATCTGCCTAAATTTGTTCTTTTGTGCCCTTCTGTTCTAGTAGGTGGGGGTGGGGACCACCATTAAAGCCAGGATCTGGCCAAGCTGAAGCTTACCAGGGGGGCCACAGAAGAAGTTCTCCTGCCCTCTCTCCTCCAGGGGCTCCACCATCCTCCGGGGCCGGACCATGCCCTCCTGGGCAGTACTCCAGGGTGTGGGGCTCAGAGTGGTGTGGGGGTTTGAGCTGAGGTATACAGAAAACCAGTGCCAGGCACCATCAAGGAGTGGGGTGTTCAGAAGAGGCCAGATGCTACTCCCCAGCAAGCTCCTCTAACTTGCTCTTGAGGAGGTCATCTGGTGGCTTCTACCTAGAGACCTCATTTCCCCCCCCCCCTCATTCCCCTCAATGGTGTGGAAAGATGGGAACCCATTACCTGTTCAGCTCAAGGTCTGGGGAAAGGGAAAGAAGCTTCCTGGGGCCTGTGAGGGACTGCAGTGCTCTCCAGACCTCTAGCTTGCGACCAATGTCTGTGTCCCGAGGCTCAAAACCCTGTGGGGAGGAGGGCCAAGAAGATAGGCAAGCAGGAGGAGGGATTTTCCATATGGTTCTTCTCAGCTCTGCCCCTTTGCATCCCTGGAGCAGGGAAGGCCAGCCTTCCTGGTTGGACTGTTGAATGGGAGTATCACCTCTATAGCATTTTTCCAGCTCTCTATGTAGGCTGAGAGCCCACCATTGCCACCCTGCCCTCAGCTGGGCCACTCCAACTTGTTGCCCCAGACTGAGCTGAGGTGGCCAGGTCTGGGGACTGCCTCCCTTCCCTTGGTCCCTTACCAGCAAGGGCTTGGAGAAGTCAGGCAGGTGGCCCCCCAAGAGTCCAGCCAGGGTGCAAAGAAGGATGACAGCTAGACACAGCAGCAGCACTGCCACTGGCCACTCAGCAATCAGCTGGGAATAGCTGGAAAGAGGAAGAGAACCCACATAAACTGGTGTTGGGTGCGGTAGCAGGGCCTGGGTGAGCTTTGGAGCAACCAAGAAAGGGTGGTAGAGCTATATTGGGCACGGCCTGGTCACCCTAGGGGTCAAGAGAAGGCCAAGGCCTAGGCCTACCTCTTGGGCATCCGGAAGGCCTGTTCTTGCCTGTGGAATAGAAGAAAAGACACATGCTTGCCAGAGTCGTTTTATATGGTAGGAGGTAGGGGTAGGGGGATAGAGGAAGATGGTATTAACCCTTTTAGGCTTTCCCACACCACAGCTACAGCCCTTACTTCCTCCTCTATCCAGGCTGCCTCCTTCATCAGAGGCAGGGGACATCCTGGACTGCCTTGATGATGTTGTCCAGAGCTTGGGGTTGTCCCCACATTTTAGCCCTGCCCTACCTTCCGATGGCAGCTGGCAGGCTGCTGGACCTCTCTTACCTGACACTGATCACATGGTGCTGCACAGAGGGTGGCTTCCAGGCCCCATCATGCTGTGAGGGGGCTGGGGAAGGGCTGAGGCCAGAGCCATGGGAGCACAGAGCTGCCCGGTCCCCCAGCCCTGGCAGGGAACTGCCCCCCCGGTATTCCTTTGGTGCCCGTGTATAAGTGAAGTGGGCAGGGGCCAAAGGGCTGGAAGGGCCCACAGGCTGGAGGGTAGAAGTTGCTGGTGGAGGTCCTGAAGAACTGGAAGGGTCCTCAAGGGGACAGCTGTGGAGGGAGCAGCTCCTTTCTGGGCTTGCCTCAGGGGCCACAGCCTTGCTCTGGGACCTGGGGAGAAAAGAGGCAGGGAAGATCGGGTGAGGCACATTGGTGAAATTTTTCTATTACTAGTCCTGGAGGAGAGGCAAGGAGGGTGAGGACTATGAATCTACATTCCCAACCTACCTCTTGGGGTCCATTGCCTTGTTCACTCATCTGTCCATGCACTCAAAAAACAACACATTAGTGTCAGCCTGCTACACACTAGAACTGTGCTAGACAATGAACGTGTTTTCACATGATGAGTTAATGCACTCCTTACAAAAACCTACAGGGGAAGTACTTTCCTTGTTTATAGATTTGAAAACTGAGGTTCTTTGAGATGTGAAGAGCTGGGCCTTGAACCCAGTTCTGACTTACAGTCCTGTGCTCTTTCTGCTAGTCATCAGTTCATCCTCTTGTTAGATATTTATTGAGCACCTGCTGCACTCTTGTCCCCACAGGTAATTGCTCCTCTCCCAGGTAATTGCATGGCTCACACTCTCTCTTTATTCTGTTCTCAGTTCAACTATTACCTTTTGGAGAAGCCTTCCATGAATACCCTTGCTAAATAATTGCCCTCCAGTTCTCCATCCCCCTACCTGCTTTATATTTCTCAGAACATTTGCCACAACTGGACATGATATGATATAGCTGTCATATTTATTGCCTGTCTCTCATATGGAATGCGAGCTCTGGGAGAGCCGGGGCCTGGCACATTTGTTCATCTCTCTATCCGCGGTGCCTTGAACAGTGCCTTGCACACAGAAGGTGCCCAGGGAATGTTTGTTGAATGAATACCGAGTTCAGACAGGCTGCTAATAGTGGTGCTAGGATAAAGAAGGCCCAGTCCTTGTCCTGTAGGCACTCATAGCGGGTGGGAGATGTGGACAGTCCAACATGTTGAGTGCTGTGAGAGAAGTCACAGAGGGCTGAAGGAGCCCAGAGGAGGGCCCGAACTTCACAAGGCTGGGCATAGTCAGGGAAAGTTTGGCCGAGGCAGCTGCTGCCTTTCCACCACCAACCTTGGGCCATGGGCCATAAAGTTTGTTTGCAAGGGTGTACACAATTGGGAGATGGAGTTGGGACTCCCAAGGAACTTGCCAAGGAGAAGTCAGAAATAGATTCCTCTTCCAAAATTACTAATGAGGGCAACACTGTCTAGGGACTCAGCCCCACTCCTTGGGTGTGGGGGTAGATGGAGTCCCACCCCAGTGACAGAATTGCCAGATAGGACATGAGAAGATGGCCACAGAACAGAGTGGGGGGTTCCCCAGGGGTTCTGGGCTTGTTAGGTAGCCTTGGCAGAGCCCTGTCTTTTTCCCTCCATCTCCCTGGATCACGTGGCCTGCCAGAGCTTGCATAGCTCCCACGGGAGAGCCAGGTGTATGCCGAACCAACCCTGGCTCCCAGCCCTGCCTGCTGTACTGATGAAGAGGCTCTGGGCCAGAGTCCCGATCCAACTGGACATTGCTCACAGAGGCTGGGTTCTGCCCAGAGACCAACTGGAGAGACTGCAAAGAATAGGCAAGTTCCTCCCCTTCCTCCCAGAAGGCTGGCTGGCTGGCATAGCAGTCTGGGTAGAGTGACCCTTGTGCTGAGAAAGGGGGGGCAGTGGAAGTGTACTCCTGGCTCCATCATCCTTTAGCCCTGGTACCTTGGGAAAGACACATGATTCTTGGAGCCCTGGCATCCATGTCTGTTGGGTGAGGGTATAACCATAACGACCCCTCCTGGGTTTGGTATTAACAGATACAACATATGTGAGGTGCCTGACATGGAGCCTGGCATGTGGAAGACACATTTGCTTTCCTGCCCCTTCTCACACTCAGTACTGCAGGGAGCATGTAGTTTAAGAATATTTATATTTACAGTTTGACCTCTTTAGTACCTCAGATAATATATCTCTATATGAGAACTCCTCACACCTTAAGTATCTCACTACATACATAATTATAAAGACTACTTTTTGTTATCCAAAAGCTGCATCAGAATTTGATCCCACAATTTAAATCACTGCTACTTAAAAAAAATTTTTTTTTTATTTTTTACTAACAACCTTTAGAAAAGTAGGGATTTGACCAATGTTGTGCTAAAGCAAGACTTCAGATGACCCCATAAAATTAATGACATAGCAACAACTGTCCTGGCAGTTAAAAGACCTTATGGGCCCATCTCCATGGACAAAAGGAAGCTGGATAAATGGCCTGGGTTTATGTGTCTAAGTGTGGACATCTACCTCTTTACGATTTTTATCCTGCAGGTGTTTTTTGAGCACCTACCACATGCTGGGCACGGTGCTTGGTCTGGGTTGGATCCTGAAGGCATGAAGATGACCCTTTAGTCTTGGTCTCCCTTTTTAGAGCAGGGCCTGCCTTCCAGAGGTCAGGAGGGTGGGGCAACCAGGGTGCCTGTTCCAACTTCCCATGGCCTTAAAGCACTCACTGAGCACTGGACCTGTCCTAGGAGCCAGGCTCCCACTTGGAGTGTCAGTTTCTTTTTCACTAAGGGAAGCCAGCACTCCAGGGGGTGTTGGAGGAGAACATGAGCACTCTCCCTTAACCAGTCTACCAAACCTCATAAGCCCAACCCCTTCATTCCATTGTTTCTATTTAATGGGGATTCCAGTGTCTACCACTTATTTGTTTCTAATGAGGTCTTCCTGGCTCCAGCCCCTTTCTTTTAACCCCTTCTTTCCCTCTCCAGGGACCTAGGATCAGCTGTTCCCAAATCTCAACCTTTTTGACTGTGCCCATTGTCATATGATAAAAATTTTTTAAATAGATTTTTTAAAAATCCTCACCTGAGGATATTTGTTTCATTGATTTTTAGAGAGAGTGGAAGGGAGGGAGAGAGGAAGAGAGAGAAACATCGACGTGAGAGAGACACATGGATTGGTTGCTTCCCACATGAACCATGACTGGGGCTGGGGCTCAAATGTGCAATGGAGATAAGCACCCTTGACTAGGAATAGAAACTGAGATCCTTTGGTCCACAGGCCAACGCTCTAACCACTAAACCAAACCAGCAGGGCTAAATTGAATTTTTAGAGAGAGAGGAAGGGAGAGGGAAACAGAGAGAAACATTGATGTGAGAGCAAAACACTCATCAATTGGCTGCCTCCTGCACTCCCTCTATGGGGGATTGAGCCAGAAACCTGTGCATGTGCCCTGACCTGGAATCGAACTGGCAACCTTCAGTGCACAGGATGACACCCAACCAACTGAACCACACCAACCAGGGCAATATGGTAGAATTTGAAACCTCCACATTCTGGCTGCTTTAGGACTGATCCTTTATCTCAACTCTTTCAAGAACAGCCAAACTCTACTCAGAATAAGAGCTTTCTCCTGCCAGCCCCTGCTGCCCTCTGTTCTCAGGAGATCTAGTAATAATATGACTTAAGTACTCCAGGCCTGGTCTCCCCAGGGGGCTTTTATTCTCACCCTCTCAGTTCCATGGCTCTGACTAGGATGAGCTATTTCCTGGGCTGCCTGCCTGGGCTCGCTGGCCTATAAGCCAAGTAACTGAGGTAGGCGGGCAGGGGGATGGAAGGTAGTGACGCAGGCCTCCTTAAGAGGCCAAAGTCACAGCAGTCAGGGCCTGACGGGGCTCCAGACACAGAAGTTCCACTTGGAAGCCTCATAAGGGGCAATGCACATGTGCATTGACCTTGCTCCCAAGCTCACAGACACATAGCCATATGGACATCCATGTGATCCTGCAGAGTGCCCAGGATAGATGGGGAAGCAGCTCACGTCACTAGGAAAATAAAAAGGTAATTTTTAAAAATACAAAGAATGAAATATTTCACCCAGCTGGGTGTGGCTCAGCAATTGAGCATCGACCTAGGATCTAGGAGATCGTGGTTCAATCACCGGTCAGGGCACATGCCTGGGTTGTGGGCTCCATCCCCAGTCAGGGGTGTGCAGGAGGCAGCCAATCAATGATGACTCTCATCATTGATGTTTCAACTCTCTCTCCCTCTCCCTTCTTCTCTCTCAGATCAATAAAGATATATTAAAAAAAAAAGTTTAAAAAAGGATGAAGTATTTCAAATTGCTCTGTAGTCAATGCATTAGTAAAGGACAGTGTGTGTGTGTGTGTGTGTGTGTCCGTGTCCATGTGTGCATCTGCACGCCATCATATTCACTGTGTATCTATCCTCAGAGTTCTATGTAGCTCATCAGGAGCATAGTTGTTTTTCTTGAATTGCACTTTGTCTGATTGGTATCCAGGGTCTCTGGGGATGTGCAGAGAGGGGCCAGAGGTCCCAGGGAGTTGTTGGAGGAGAGCAATTAGTTCACGTGCCCAAGAATGACCCTCACGTGCAGGGGAAGTGAGCAGGCCAAACAGGGCTGATCCTTGGCAAAATATCCAAGGCACCAAATGACTTTCCAGCCCCTTCTAGGGAGGCTCCTGACCCCAGACTCCTGCTCTGCCCTGTCACTGCCCTGCCCTGTCCACCCCTGGCTCTTTGGTCAGGCCATAATCCCAAGTAGACCTTGGTCCAGGGAACACATCCATCCTGTGTCACATCCCTTTGAAAAAATCTCTGTGCCTTTCAGATGGAAAGGTGGCTATATCTGTCCAAGCTGATGTGTTAACAATAGAGGGATGAAAACATTCTTTTTCATTTGTGGGGTCTCCTCTTGCTCTGAGGTACAGAATGTACATTTTAATTGGAGCAGTCTAGAGACCATGTGTCCACCTCTGCTTTGTGCCTGCAAAGAATGCCTCTTATTTCAGTCCAGGCAGGACAGAAAGGCAGTGTCATGTCAGGAGAGGGATTCTGGAGACGGCAGGGCACAAAACCTGTGCCATATTGCTACCTGGCTGGGCTGTTTCCTCCCACATATGATGGAGGAAGAGAGAGGAGAGGCACCAAGACCTGGGCCCTCAGCCAAAAGGTGTTCCTCTGGTCCTGCCAGCCTGGGGCTCCTTCAGGGCCTGAGCCTCTGAGCCTGCCCACCTTAGTGCCTCCAGCGAGTGCAGGTAGCTGCCACATGCGGGGACTCTGGCCCACACGTGCGCAGCCGGCCATGCAGGGCAGAGTCTCCTGACGGTGATGGACAAAGACAGTCCCTGGCGTGGCCGCCGAGTGTCTGCCCTCCCCAGGACACCCACCTTGGTGAGCCCCCCATCCATGGTACACGCACACTCTCCCGCACACTGACATGCTGCCACCCGGACTGAGGCAGCCCGCGGGCGTGAGGCTTACAGAGAAGGCGCGGGGGCAGGGCCTAGAGGGAGTGGCTCGGGGGCCGGGGAGGGAAGCCCCGGCCTTGGAGGTAAGGTAGGAATGGTGGGTGGGGCAGGTTCCCGGGGCGCTGAGGGCGGCGGGGGCTGACAGTAGGGGGTATCAGGCAGAGAGAATGGACTTGGCGGAATGAGGGCGTGGCCAGGGGGCCGGGAGCGTGGAGGCGCCAGGTGGGGCTCCGAGAGGGGCTGGGGAATGAATGGGGCGATGTATGGCGGCTCCTGAGGATACCTGGGGTGGGGGTGCTGGAAGGTCTGTGAGTTGGATCTGTGGAGTGGTCCGCCCTACCTGTCCGGGGAGCTGCCATCTGGGGCCAAAGGCTCCCCTTCTTGCCTTTGCTCCTCTTCCGGACCCGGGCCGGGAGCCGGACCGCTCCCGCCGCTGCAGCTACCTCGGTCCATGCCCGTGGGCGGTGCCGCTGTCCGGGCGCTGGTGCTGAAGCAGTCGTGGGG